GTTTTCTGCGGTCTAACTGGCAATTAAACATGTATTTGCTGGCATTTTGCCATTGTGGAGCACACTTAAACGCAAGCCACGCCCCCTTTTTACTGTAGAACTTATCACAATGTCAGTGCAAAACAAGCGCATAGTCGAGTGTACGTTGAGCTGGCTATAAGCCAGTAATTTATATGGGCTTTAGATGCATTTGTCTTCAATTAAAAACTGGTGCACTTGTCGTATACGTGATGCTGTCGACAGGATGAACTACGATGTACCAAGCTGTAGTCAATTAAATAATGTGTTTATGTGAAATGCAATAGATGTGCTCCCATGTAGATACCTTCATTTTCTCCTATGAATTGCAGCTGATCTGTCTGTCAAGACTCAACAGTTAGTTTATTCTCCTATCAAATGTGCATATGCATTTGTCAACTAACAGCGACTGTTTCTTTTGATTGTACTTGTAAGTTTATCTGCCTGTAAAAAATTAGCAGTACATTTATCTAATGATTAGGCATGGCTTTGCAGAAACTTGTACAATTGGCCAATTTCCAATTAAAGAGATACAGTGAGCGGACTTTTTTTTATCTAGCTAACGGAGATGTCCACTAAAGATGAATGTTGAAGAAGTATCCAATATATGTTTTTATCATTTATCATAATCTGATGAAAACTTTATATATATATTTCTTTTAATATCTTAAAAATTTGTAAGTACTATTTAGATATTTATCATATTGCTTCACGTCTTGTCTTTTACTTTATGTCTTAAGACAAATTTAGTTTTTCACTGATAAAATATCTGCTGAAAAGCTTCATTTTCTAATTTACACACAACTTTGAAGGTTAAGTCAGGTTCGTGTAAGCGAACTGTAAAGTTCGCACAGTGGCGCCATCTGTGTGCCGCGCTTGTGCGCTTATCAAAAACTCACAGCTGTGCTGCTTCGTCTTCGTCTTCCACTCTTACTAACTACCTTGAACAAGTTCAACGCAAAAGCTTCGCCGCCGAACCTCAAGAAGCCACAGAAAATAAACAAGAAAGAGGCAGAGCGTAAAGATTGTAAAAATAATACACAGTAATACACAAACGCGAGCAGTTATCAACTGCAGTTCCGCACGAGAAGATCCACACGACGGTGCGCCTGATAAATCCAAAGAAACAACTTTCGCTCTGGACTTTTGCTAGGAAAAACTCCAAAGAGACATGGAAGTATTAGATGACGACGACAACTATAGCGAACAGGTGGGGTAAACTGTAGCTTATCTCGCCACATTCTCAAATACAAATTCTGTGCATACTCTGTTCACAATGTGCAAAAGGGTATATTGCATTTGGGCAATGTCCAGCCAGCTGTCCGCTTTAAACTTGAAAAATATATCTGTTTTGATACGCTTCATTATGAACATTTTTGGAGGAAGCTGTAAAAATATATATCCTTCCCGGTTTTTGAGCCAAAGTCCGTATATGGCATTCACACGACCATTCATAAAAATCGAGCCAAAAATAATCTGGCCACGCCCACGTCATAAAGAAGTCTCCTTTCGCCTGATTAAAACAGTTATTGGAACATGGACAGAGTATTGTTCAGTTGGTTAGGCCCGCCTTCAACATTTTTAATTGTTCCCATTCGCCTAGCTCATTCTGGTGCAACAGAATCTGCGTTCGATGCCCATCGAAATTGTGCAGCGCTATGCCGAGAGCACCGAGCATTTGGATTTGAGTCACAATTGCCTCAAGGATCTGTCCTGGCTGTCGGAATTCGAGCAGCTGCGTTATCTGGTCCTGGACAGCAATCGGCTGCACGAGTCGCAGCTGCGCACGTTGCAAGGGCCACTGCCACAGCTGGAGGTGCTCATGCTGAACAAGAACGAGGTGAGGCAAGCGTTTGTGCCCCGGTTATCAATTATTATATAGGGTATATCAATTTACAGTTCAGCGATCTGGCGGCAACGATTCGACTTATCAGGCGGCTCTTTCCCAATCTGCAGTACCTCAGCCTGCATGGCAATCCCATTTGCCCCGACGGCCTGCATTTGCAGCCCTTCTCCAGCTACTTGGATTACGATTATGCATACTACAGGTGGGCATATTTAACAGCTCCAAAATTTAAGCAAAGATATATATTTCTTGTATACTTTATTTTTCAGCAATTTCATAGCACAGTCGCTGGGAAAGCTAAAATTTCTGGATCACGCCCCGGTTAAACGTTCCTTTAACTATGAGAGTTTTCCTATCAAGGGCCATGATAGGGCTGAAAATACACTTGTAAACACGACAACACTTTGAAAAAAAAAACACATGTTCTTACTAAATTGATAAAAATCTCAATATTATAAATCATCTACCTGTATTTGTGTAGAGAAAGCTCGTAGCCATGACAAGCACCCTATATTATTGATAAAAGCTCACGGTGAAGAGCTTTTATCAACAGCCGAAAAGGCGCATAAGACATAAAGCACAAAACTGATTAAATCACGACTAATAAATACCTCGCAATGTCTTACACCTGTTCTTATAGGCTGGTATTATTTCTATATTAAGGTCTTTAACGATGCAAAAAATATTAAATAATTAAAAAACCAGTATAATATAATATAATAGGTTTTTGGTAATTAAAAAACAAGAGCAGAGGAAATACTAAGCAGACCATATTAGGCCAGTAGTAAATAACAAAAATGCATACCAAAAAGATAAAGTAGGAAAAAAAAATACGAATTTTAGAACGGAAAGAAATCATTTCTAATTACTACTTGGGTTTCATTATAATAAATGCTAAAACAGAAAACATATTCACCAAATTCAATGAGTATTATTGAACAAAAGCAAGTATAAAGCATAAAATAATTGAAACACAACATACAATGGTAAAAATAAGTTCTAGATAAAAGAGAGATTAAATTTGTGTTAGAGAACGATGACATGGCATATTGGCACAAACAAAATAATTTAAAAAACGTGCACGAGAAATCAAAGATAATGATATATTAAATTTGTGGTAAGGTACAGCAATACAAGAATAACGGTAAATGCGAGCTAAAGTAAAATGCACAAGCAGGAGCCAAAAGCCAGCCTTAAACTTTGCAGGGTATATAAATATGCATAACAGTAGAAATACACACACACACACACACACACACACACGTGTTCTTTGTCTGTTAGCCTGCGTCGCCGGCCGGCATATGTTTTGCGGAGCGAAAGACAGCACAAAAGGGAGACAGCGTTAAAAGCACGCGCAAAGGCAAATCAAATAAGCGCACGCATATCAAAGGCAACCATATAACGAATCTAGAAACCCATTGCAGCTTCAGTTAAGTGCGAACATTCAAGCAGTCAAGTTGTCAGTCGCTCAATTGCAGCACTTCAATATGGCCAATCCCAACGCGCAGCCCAAGTACACAAAAGTAAGTAAACAAGATATTGTTCTAATATTCAGAAGTATTTGTATCCGTAACTCTGTACGACTGAAGAATTTCAGTTACCTGACTACAGGTGAATACTTGGTTAGGATAAGCCCAAAGCCTTGAACTGCATATAAGAAATTCATTTTTTTCTTATCGCAAATTTTAATTGAAGCACAATTTATTCAACTCGAATGGTTACACGATTTTTGTGTGTTTGATGTCAGTTTAAAAAACTTGTTTTTGCCAAGAATTTAGTCGCTTTCCTTTAATATATATGTATGCATGTATATCTTGTGTGTCTCTGTGTGTGTGTGTGCGTGTGAGATCGCAATATGTTTAAGGTGTTATTGTATATTTTATATAATTAATTGCGGGCCCATCTGGCGTTTTATTAGCTGACACTTGCTATCACACTCTTTAAGCATTATCAAGTGGGCTCTTTGTACTTATAAAAACATTTCAATCTAATGCATATATGTACATGTCCGATTTGTATAGCTGACACGCCTGCAATATCAATTGAAAATATAATTATACGCTTACATTGGTTTCCTACAAAGGTGTTAATGGTCTTATGTATTTAGGCTAAGTCTCAGTTATAAAGGAATTAATGGTCTTATGTATTTGGGCTATATCTTAGTAGTAAAGTTTTATTATTATTGTTTTATTATTATATGTTATAAAAAGAGTTATCCACGAACAAAATGTAACCAATATTTATAATCGTCGTAGATATTCGCCAATTCTATCTTACTTTCACGCATTTCCAGCTTATCTAGCAAAATGGAATTATTATTTTATGACTGTTTAATAGACTGTTTATATACACTCTCATACCACAACAATCAGATACAACAGAAAACAACAAGAAAACATCTCAAAACTTAAAAATATATATGGACCGGAATCAGGAATTTATTTAATAAATCTACATCCCATAACTTATGTCTCGTAATAGTATACGTTACGAAGCGTAATGTATAGAAAAACTAAAGAAGTTACTTTAGCTAAACATTTATTTACTTCAAGTAACATAATGCCAAAGTGTTTACAAACTAATTGCAATAAGAAGCTAGATATTTTTTTTTTTTATAAATAAACATAAAACTCATCAAAACTCTTTTAAAACATTTCTGACCAAATACTATACAACAATCTACTCTGGGGACAGCCAAAGTATTTATATTCTCCAATGTTGAACTCTTGAACTGTTTACAGGGTATTATCTCATCAAAATGCTTACTCTTGTTTACATTAACATAATTTGATAATCGCTGGTGGTGCTCTGATAATGGCCATTCTGATAAGGGACCAACACAATATTAGATTAGTTGCGCTCGACTGTGGACTTTAATTGTCATATTTAGAGTAGAGCACGAGTTGGCAGTTTATAGTTTGAGTTCCTCTTGAATGCTGCTGTTATTCCCTCATTTTATTCGGTTGCAATCTTGACATTCCCACATGCATAAACTCCACATTAGCTAATTGCTTTAAACTGCGTCAATTTCACATTCGTTTATTTTTTTCTCTACAATCAAAACTCGGAATTTCATTGACAATGTCATTATTTGTTGAGAGTTAGATAGTTTTGTTTACATTGAGCGTAACTGTCGCGTGTTTGGAAACTGGCAACTGACAACTTGTTAAGTTCACGTCAAGCGGCTGTTAGTTGGGCACAGGGCAAAGGTCGTCCATGAAGTGGCGCCAATTAGTGGCACGCCAGGTGCTGCAGCTGCAAATGCATTGCAGCAGCTCGAGCTATGAGCATTGCCCTCCTGCGTACAGCCAGGTGAGGCGCACAGTTTGACAGGCACTGACACTTATATTACGTATAATGATTGCCATATAATCTTTATTTGATTGCAGTTGTTTATCAACAATGAATTCGTTGATGCCGTTTCGGGCAAAACCTTTGCCACCCACAATCCGGCAACGGGCAAGGAGATCAGCCAGGTGGCCGAGGGCAATAAGGTGAGCATGAGCTCGCGCTGATAACGTAGACGGCAGGCTCTCATCTAATATGCAATCTCTCCATCCAATCCCATCCAGGCTGATGTCGACCGTGCTGTGGCTGCAGCCAAGAAGGCCTTTCATCGCGGCTCCGCCTGGCGTCAAATGAGTCCGTTGCAGCGCACCAATCTGATGAACAAGTGGGTGACATTGACCTTTGATCCTTGCATAGTCATATAACAACTGCTCCTTCCCGTTGCAGACTCTGCGAGCTGATGGAGCGCGACAAACAGTTTTTGGCCAGCATTGAGACCCAGGACAATGGCAAACCCTTTGCGGAGGCACTCTTCGATGTGACCATCTCGATTATGACGCTGCAGTATTATGCTGGCTGGACGGACAAGTTCTTTGGTGACACCATCCCCGCCGGTGGTTTCGTTGCGATGACACGCAAGGAGCCAGTTGGCGTTGTCGGTCAGATAATACCCTGGAATTATCCACTGTTGATGTTGGCCTGGAAATGGGGTCCCGCACTGGCCGTTGGCTGCACCATTGTCATGAAGCCCGCCGAGCAGACGCCACTCACAGCCTTGCACATGGCCGCACTGGCCAAGGAGGCGGGTTTTCCGGCGGGCGTCATCAATGTGATAAATGGCTTTGGACCTACCGCTGGAGCCGCAATCAGTGAACACCCGGACATTGCCAAGGTGGCGTTTACCGGCTCCGTGGACATAGGACGCATTGTTATGCAGGCGGCAGCAACATCGAATCTGAAGCGCGTATCCCTGGAGCTGGGCGGCAAGAGTCCCGTCGTTGTGTTCGAGGATGCGGACAGTAAGTGGCATAGAATTCTAGACATAAGCATTGAGTAACTCCATTTGATGTGTTTGCCCTGCAGTTGACTATGCTGTGGAGACCGCCCATGAGGCGCTGTTCTCCAATCACGGCCAGAGCTGCTGCGCCGGCAGTCGCACCTATGTGCACGAGAAGATCTACGACAAGTTTGTCGAGAAGGCGGCCGCCAAGGCCAAGGCACGCACAGTGGGCAATCCCTTCGAGGAGACCACTCTGCAGGGCCCGCAAATCGATGAGGAGATGATGACCAAGGTATTGGGCTACATTGAGAGTGGCAAGCAGCAGGGCGCCAAGCTGCAGGCGGGCGGCAAGCGTATTGGCAATGTGGGCTACTTCATCGAACCGACCGTCTTCTCCGACGTCAAGGATGACATGCGCATTGCCCAGGAGGAGGTAGAACCAACACATTGAGTAACCTCAGCAAGTGTACTCATGTCCTGCTCTTTCAGATCTTTGGACCCGTTCAGTCCATCTTCAAGTTCAGCTCCATCGATGAGATGATTGAGCGTGCCAACAATGTGCAGTACGGCCTCGCCGCCGGCGTCATCACCAACGACATCAACAAGGCCATGAAGTTCGCCAATAGCGTCGATGCCGGCTCCGTTTGGATCAATTGCTATGATGCCGTCCTGCCGCAGACACCCTTCGGTGGCTACAAGCACTCCGGCATTGGTCGCGAACTTGGCAAAGACGGTCTGGACAACTATCTGGAGACCAAGACAATTACCATGAAGCTGCTGTAAGGTGGACAGCATCTGGTCCTTTCTGTTTTCTGTTTGTATTGGAATATTTGTATTTTATTTGCACCTTCCGGCTTTATGGTTAGACTATTGCATTTCAATTAAAACTATTTGTTGGAAACTAAAAACGATTATATTATAAATTAAAACGAGGCACGAGTTTACTTAGCTTAAGCTTAGATAATATCATTCAATTGTTCGAAACCTTTTTGTTTTCGTACGTTGGAAGTTTAGCAGACTTCAAATCGGAACTTGAAATTGCCTTTACCCTTGCAGAGAATGTTATTATGCTCACGGGCAGACTTTAAACTGATATATATACATATATATTGGGCTATCATATAACTATCTCATATGACAGCGAATCGCTCAATAAGGGAAACTTTTTTGTTGTCCGAGTTATCTTGACCAAACTGGGCCTTAATGTGCCTATATGTGCCCAAAATCTTATCTACATCAGACACCTACATCATATAGCTCTATAAAGCCTCCAAAAGCTTAATTATTGACCGATAAATCTTAACTTTACCAGGTACCAGCATTATTATGTATATTACACTCTGGGGAAAAATTGGAAGAACATGGTATTACCCTATATTCCTTCCTATCCACCTGCTAGCAAGGATTTCTGAAAAGTTGAGTATGGTAACATTTTTGGGTTTCAATATGTCTCAGCATTATTATATTCCGAATTGAGGGTAACATTTTTGCTTAATCGGACTACAGTATTAAGTAGCTTCCTTGGAAAGTCCTCTGCAAGGGTACTTAATATTCGGCAAGCCGAAACTAACTTCTCTTGTTCGCTTGTTTCATTTTGTTCTAGTATTTCTTCTTAAACCCTGATTTGTTCGCCAAAACAATCGTATATAAAAATAAACCTGAGATTTCTGATGTGCTTCAGCTTGTGACAAAGTCAAGCCTTAGGCGACAGTTGTTAAGTGCGTTTGTTGCCGTTGTTGTTGCTGTTGTTCCTGGGCTTTCAGCTCGAGCAGCGGCATGGCCACATCGCTTAGCCGTGACTTGGCGCTCTGATAATCATCCTCTGATCTGGGTCTCAACTGCTGCTGCTGATGCTGTGGACTGGTCTGCAGCACCTTGTTATAAATGGGCTGTATGGGCTGAGAGCCAGCTGGGCGATGATCGAACATATCATCGATATCAACCAGCTGGAAATCAAAGGCATATATGTAACGCAGCACCATGACCAGCAGGGCCAGGAGCCACAGGATCATGCTGATGATATAGCTGCAACGGAAGAGATCCAGATACACATCGTGCGAGACGCTGTGCTCGTGGATGAGCGGCCGCAGCAGGGCAATCGCATCGCCACAGCTAAAAATAAAGGTTACTTAACTTGGTTTAATCAAGTTAAGCAAATGTACACCCACCTGATAGCCCGGGGATTGGTGAGACCCTGCCGCAAATGCCCACACAGACGTCTCAGATAGCCATTGGTCAGTATCGTGTATGCCGCGCTGCCCAGGCTCATCAGCGTGAAGATCAATATGGAGGGCACCACAATGCGCCAAGGCTTAGGCAGTACCCTCAAAAAGTTAAAAGAAAAGATCATTCTAGTTAGTAGTTACCGACTGCCAGATACTCTGTTCACAGCGTAAGAAGAGCTTAAAACCAATTGAAAGGAGTCTTCTGAATTGATAAGAATATTGACTCTGAAACTGTTAACTCCAAGCAGTGACTTTAAGACTGTGAATAGAATATATTGTTTTTGAATTTCTGACAGCGAGAGTGTGCAAAGTCGCTAAAGATTTTACTTTATCGTAAAGGTGGCCATCAATTGGCTACCTGTAAAGTCTGATGAATCTAGCTCTCTCTCACGGCTGGCTCTCCTCCCTATGTCAGGACTGTATATCTTACAAGTTTCATGAATAGGTGAATATATTTATACACACTCTTTGTGAACTGAGTATAATAAGACAAAAAGTCAGACCTGGCTAGATCGACTGAGCTGGTTGTCCTGATCAAGAATAATTATACATTATGGGGTTGGAAATGCTTCCTTCTGTCTGATACATACGTAAACACTAGAAACATTGTACCACCTAACTCATTTTCAATGGGTACAGGGTATACAAACTAAAAGTCGTAAGCCACTTACGATGTTTTCTTGTTGCCTGTTTGATAGATGAGACACATGGCCGTCCAGATAATGGCCACAGCCTCGGATATCAGTGGAAATGTGTAAACAAACTGGGCGCCAATGCCGCGACTCCAGCGTGTGGCATGTGTATCTATGGACTCTGCAAGCAATCAAATCAGATTTCATGCCAAACAACTCTATACTCTTGCCATTATCTACTCACGGCTAGCCAGAAATTTGCGATCCGCTTCCGCATTGGGCACCATCTCTGGCGGTGCACTTGTTGTGGTTGTTGTTGCCTGCAGCGCATTTTCCTGCTCCCTTTCGCTGACCAGCCGGGCCAGAAGGCGCGCATTATCCTTTGGCTCGTAGATATGTTCGAATTTGTATTTTGGCTTTTTAGTTTCTGCTAAAGGGAATAATAAAAGTTTAGTTATTTGAGTTAGAGCATTCGCCAGTTTACCTACGGCTGTCGCTCTTCAGCGATTGCGGCGTTTCATTTAATTCATACGGAAGCTGTGCCACTTTTTGCAGATCCTGTTGGAAGATCTTCTTGCTTCGGTTATCCATTTGGCCATAGTCGCGATCCTTAAACATTATTTTGGCACTGATGATTCCATCGTAGAAATCGCCGGATAGCACGTGCAGGGAAACGCTCCACATAATGGAGAAAATCGCCACGAGCACCATGAGACATATTACTAGAACTAAAAAATTAAAGATAAAATTTGGTTATTTGAAGAAAAAATGATAAGAAGAGGTAAATTTTATAGGAATAATAATAAAAAAAAAAAGTAGGGATATAGTCGGTATGCATAAGATTTCATATCCTTTTAGACATTTCCCTTTCTTATATGAGAAAAGTGAAGCTCGTAAATGCTGAGTTAAATGAAAATATCTTTAAAAACATAATATTTTGCCATATAAGCTGCCATATGGCAGTTATATGAAATAGTGTCCGGATGTTGATTAAATTTTGGGGAGGATTTGAGTTTGTTCAAGTTACCTTATATTGAGAAAGGCTTCCATATCAGAGTCTAGTTTTTGACCGCTTGTTCCTATAGCAGCTATATGACATGGCTATCCGATCTGGCTGATTCTGACATATGTAACACCGACAACTGTTTTTGGGTTTGCTTAAATGATTCTTAATTAAGTATTTATCTCAAAGTCTATCATTTATAATCTTCTGGAGCAATGTTTGTTAATATAAATATAAATAATTCTTTATGTTTAGACCTCCGAAACATTATCTATGAAAATCATTTTGCCCAACTCAAACTTTTTGCGTTTTTAATTATAAAATATAATAAATAACAAAACTAGAAATAAACTATGTTTAGAAAACCTGAGAATTATGGGATGTGCTTGGATTCTATTACAACTATTTATAGATAAAGGTTAAGGTCTGAAGAATTTCAAATATAGAAGTGATATTTTTTGGGCGAGCTTAAGCACAGATGATAAATAGTTGCCCAGGCCTTGACAGCATCCATTTACAATAGAAATAGGTGGGGCTTGAGGTTGTGGGGGCGGGGGTGGCGAGCCAGAGACGTGGCGGCGTCTACTTTTGTATACATATTCGTAAATTTACTAGAAGACATCGTGAAAACAAACATAGACAATGCACAGTCCATAAACTAGCTGGCCAGAGTTTATATTGGAGGCATGATATCATGGCAGATGTTGTATATGGCTTGGTTAACGAGCCACGAAAGCAACAACAACAACAGCAGCAACAACAACAACAACGGCAACAACAACAATTAAAAACATTTGCCGATGACGTCGAAATTAGCGACGGAGCTACTCAATAAAATCCATTTCAATTGATGCTAAATTTCCGACACGCCGAGTTCACAGAAATGCCGAACAAAATGTATAAATTTTAATGGAACGAAATGAAAAATGCATTGTGGCTAAAAGTCAACAAACATATTTACGAATTGATATATATATGTTATGTGTGTGTTCCATCATAAAAGTCCAAATGAAAATGGGTTTTTATTTTTGTTGTCACGCCAAAATGGGAAAATTTTCATGTTCCATGCGCAATGTCAGGAAAAGTGTAACGCATAGAGGAAAATGTTTTCGAGCTCATAAATGATATATATTCTTGATCAGAAAATTAAATTGATATTCGAACAACTTTTTAAAGGTGAAAGCCCGCATTAAGTTGATCTACTTTATTGTACGTACCTATGGAAACAATCGGCGGGAATAAAAGCTATTGTTTAAAAGAACTTCTCTGTCGTATTCAGGGTATTCACTAGTCGCCGAGCCAAAGACAGCGCTTGTTTAATTTTTAATTTTGCCCATTTTTATGATTTGCAAGGATTAATAAAAAAATCGTAAACATAATGACAAATAGACGGACTATCAAGTGCACCCGTGAATGGGGCGAGCAAATGAATAATGAATATTTTCATGCACAAACGAACGCATAAATTAGAAAAAACATGCATTCATTTATTAATGCTGTATTCATAAATGTGTGTGCCACTTGATATTGCGAGTTGCAGCAACAGCGATGACATCATGCCCCATCTCCAGCTGGGTGTGGACCAGGGTCGCGCACCGGAACGTTAAGAGAGCCAGGCCTTGGGGCATTGTTGCTGCCAACAAGAGACTACTTCAGCTGCCCGAAATCAGCTGTGCTGCAAAGCGAGGGGGGTGGAGGGGCAACTAACTGAAATGCTAGCCCAGAGTGTCATTAGCGATGATGGCAACTATTTTCGGTCAGTCAAATTGGCGATTTGTGTAACTGAATATGGCTCAACGGGGGCCAGACGATGGCGTAATTCTATAAAGCGAGACGAGCGAGTTATAAATAAATATTACGGCTCGAAACTTGATATGAAAAGAAACAGAATACAAATCAAGTATTGTATTCATGAGACGCCAAATGTATGTGCGCCTAATATTCATAGAATTCAATTATCTGGTTTCTTTAATATTTAATATTTAATCCATGTGTATAACAAATAACAATGCGAAAAGGCAATTACATACATTCTATCTTTAAGTGCTGCCTGCATATAAGAGTGCATTCTTTATTAACTTGGGTTCATTACATACTTAAAACATACAACTCATCGTCCTGATCAGGAATAAATATATATGCTTTGTAGGGTCAGAGATGCTTCCATTACATACTTAAAACATACAAATTGCGGGATTATGCTTACATATATTTAAGATTTCACTTGTCAGCCGGAAGCTGTTTCAGTTTATTTGCAGTTGCCACTTTAAAATGAACCACATGGCGTATGCGCATTCTTTAATAAACTGCGCCCACGCAGCACTTGGCGCCATTAACTGCACAAGCTTAATTGTTTATCAATATCTCAGCAAACATAAACAAATAGACAAACGTCAGAGCCGCCGAAAAGTGGCCAAAATGCTGAAAGCAAGGGTGTGAGCAGCAGAGGGCGGTGCCTCCATTCAGTGGCCAATTAGCATTCGAGGCAAAAAGCAGCACAAATTAGCACATTTGCAAAGCCTTTTGGCCAATTTAGCACCTTAAACTATTTGCTTACGCATATGGTAAGTTTGTGAGTATGTAATGCTATGAGTACAAATTCGTAAAAGGTCTGGCACATATGCATGCATATCTAATTATAAGAATGAGGCTTCAGGCTCGCACCTTAGATCACTGTCAATTATGTCTGCTATGATTTTAAATAAAGGCTGTAAACTGGTTGTTAGTCGAACCCGTTTGAACTTGGATTTCCAATTTCTTATTAGTCAAAAACCGAAACTGAAGCTTGATTAGTTGCATAAAACAGCCTAAAGCCTAAAACTAAACTTGAGTTTGGCTTAGATATGTTTACAAACAAAAACTAATTCTTCGACCGATTCTTCCCATTTTGGTACTTGATATAGTGTTCCGATGTAGGATCTTATAAAAAAATAGTATAATGAATTATGAAGATAATGAAGATTATAATAATATATAATAATAATACTAATAATAATAATAATAATAATAATAATAATAATAATAATAATAATAATAATAATAATAATAATAATAATAATAATAATAATAATAATAATAAAATAAAAATAATAATAATCATAATATTATTATTAATAATACAAATAATTAAAAATAATGCAAATAATATTCAACTTGATAATAATATCAAAATAATATTATAATTAATAAAAATTAAATTCATTATCATGAAAATAATAATGATAGTAAGAATAAGAATGAAAATGTTGTTGATGTATTTCTAATGGCTAACAAACTCAAGTGCGTTCTTGTCAAAATGTCAAAGTCATTCATCAACAATCGTTTGCACATTTTCGTAACATTATTGATGAAAGGCGCATTCCACACACATGACAGACGTGACGGACGCGACAGACGACAGTCGTGAGAGACGACAGGCGGGGAGGAGGAGGATTATTGAGAATGGACAGGCAACATGTTTGCCATAATTGATAAAAATATTTTTGCTGTCAATTTGTTAACCAATGAAGGCGCCTTCTAAAAAATTCAATTAGTTATGTCAACGGCACGCACAAATTTATATATCTATATATCTTTCTATCGGAATTATATATTCAGCCGAAGGTTGTTCTCACCCAGCCCTTTGTGGGCTAAGGCCTTAAAAATAAAATACACATCTATGCACATATATTTAAATTACATTGTGACGCATTTACAACGTGTGAACAGCGAAAGACTTGGGCATATAAGAATAGAAATTGTGTTAGAAATTGTTAGAAAAAGGAAAAGGAAACATACGATTCAAGTTGCGCACATCGCCAGTTGTTAACTTTCCCTGTTTGTACTTTTTTATCAGCTCCATTCTGGCATTTTTTTTTTATATTTATATTTATTTTATTTTTTGTTGTTGTTTGCGGTTTGTTCTTGGATTTGGCTATGTTACACGCGGAACACCCGATAAAAGCACTTCCTATGGCAAATTTTGCATTTATTTTTAGAATATATTTCACTCACACACTTCTTTCGGTTTTGGAATTATTTACATTTCTTTGAATATTTTATGGAGCACAATGTTCCAGCAATTTTTCAGATTTAACGACTGCTAATCAACTGTTTGGCAGGCCCAACAACACAATAAACAATGTGAGGCGCAATAAATATTAACAATAGTCATAAATGAAATGAATTTTGTGCTTGTTTGGATTTAAAGAGTCTAAATTTAATCGAGTAGGGACAGTTAGGTGCAGCTTGTGGATGCACTGGAGCGAAAAGAAAGCTTAATCTATTTAAAAACTGACTGGTTGACTGATTGACTGATTGATAGGCTGACTGACTGACTGGCTGATCACTGATTGATTGATTGATGACAGCAGAGGGCGTTAGAACTAACCCAACTGATGTAAATGCATAGTTAGGCGAATTCCACCCGTAACTGCGGAAAATAAGTGGAAACGATTGTATAAAACTTTGTTGTTAACCATGCGAGCAGCCTTAAATTCATTTTCAATGAGCTTTGCGAAAATTCAGTTAAGACATGGGTTTCAACGGAAAAGTGTTTGCCCGAATTGAAAGCAAAAAGCTTGTTCCAGTTAAAGCTGGATAATGCTCGATACTAATTAAAATTAATATAAAATATAAAAATCAAACGATAATTCAAAACTTTTGCCTTTGTTGATATTTTGTATGTTTCTCAATATTTTTACGGCATTCAATTTGTATGTCATATTACGTATACGTCGTGTAATTAACACCTATTGTTAGCTTTGAGCGCGTGGCTTGGGCTCCTTAATAGCTGTGCCGTGTTCTTAGGCATATAAATAGAACTTTGTTTGGCGCAGACAATCAAGACGCCAACTCCCGCAATGCAATCGCACCGTCGCAGTTCAGAGTCAGTCAAACAACCCCCCGCCAAAAAAAAAACAAAAGAACAAAATCGGTTTCATTGAATATTTATGCTATTTACATTATTGTTGTTTATTTAATTTGCATAAACGCGCTCAAGCGTTGGAAAAACAAACCGATTGCCGTATCGAAATTAAATAGAAGAAGAAAACAAACGAAAAACACGCTCCGCACGAGAAACATCAACCGCAGCTCGACGCAGTTGCTCAGACACTGAGGCGGCGGCAGCATTTGGCAGCCAGGCCAAAGCATAATATTTCTCCAGCAAATCACTCAAACAGGGGGCGAGAGCGAGAGAGCGAGAGGCAGAGAGAGTGAGGGAGCGTGAGCGAGAGGCAACGGCTACACAGTTAGACAGCGTGAGCGAGTTTCTTTTTTTTTGAGTTTTGTTTTGATTTTCTCAGCCTGCAACTGGTTATTTAAGTTGTTGTTTTCACGTTTTGTTTTGCTTTTGTTTTCTCATTGTTGTCTGTTATTTTTCGCATAGGCCTGTGCGGCAGCTACCTATTGTTGTTTGTTTTCTTCTTTAATTTCGAATAAGATGTCGGCGTGTTGGAGGGGCGTATGCGTAATATATGCGTTGTCTTATAAATCTGAGAATATTTGTAGCTATGGTTATATTATAAATTTGTCATCAAATAATATGCATTATATATACATTCTCGGTCATTATCAACAGCCGAGTGAATATATCCAAGTCTGTCTGCCTGTTTCTATGCAAACTAATCTCTAAGTTGGAAAAGAAAAAATACTTTTACACTACTTATATTAAAGCAGGATCTAATCAACATCACACTATCCTAATATCTAGTTCTATCGGTCGAAAAATGAGTTCTTGCATTGGATAATTTCATGTCTTTCAAGTGAAAAAACATGTCAATCAAATTTAGTCATTTACAACTTTTACAACACTGCTTATATTCATATCATATTATATTATCTATTTCATTAGAGTGTATTGGTCCTAAAACGAGTTCTTACAAAAGATATTTTTTTGTTTTTGAAGATATTTTGACCAAACTCTGACTCCACTGAGCTCGCAGTCTTTTGCTTTTAAAGCATTTATTCTTTAAATTCTGCGTGCTACAGCAGCTCCTTGCTGTTGATATTTGTGAGTATTTACGGACGCAATTATCGGCGATGACCTTCAAAACGAAAGTCGCTTTCTAGGCTCAAGGTGAGCTTAATTAACAACCACAATGTGTGTGTGAGCCCGAAAGGGTTATAGTATATGTACTTCCATCGCGTGCTATGCAGACGTCTAGAGTTCTTTGTTTTACACCAACTACAACTGGCAGCCGCTTTTTATTTCTCTAGGTTTTCCGAGTATTGTTTTTCGAATTTTAATTGTTTTTCTTTTCTTTTAAATTTAAATTTACAAAAATGTCTTATCGCATACAATTTGTTTAACTGGCAATTCTATGTTAACACGAAAAAAGAAGAATTTAATGATAAGAGTTTTATTTGAATGGGAATGTTTAATCTCTAACATAATATCGTACTTCTTTGGCCCTCGGCAGTTTATACTGTACTGTATTATTATACATATAATATGCATATTATTTATAAAAACAAAAAACCGCACACGCAATATAAACATGTCGTCTTGATAACACAAATGTTTTTGCCCAAAAGCATTATCTTTCGAGCATTATAATACCATATCTATACAATATACCCATGTATTTTCAAGTTAAACCAAAATTTCCGACAGTCAGCAGGAAGCATTTCCTGAATTCATATAAGTTAATTGGTTTATAGCTCGATTAAAAAGGTTTCATTTAATTTCACTTGAACACATAAAATACACATGCAATAATAGGAAAACATTATGATATATACAATATAAACATATATAGTTATTAATATATTCTATTAATATTTTCGGTTTACCTACGGATATGTGCGAAGCCCGTAATGTGGCTTTCAAATGGGCGATGACGCTGTTCGCTTGTGCAAATTAGCAAATGCTGTAAGTAAGCTTCATAAATTTGTTACAACGTTACAGCCAATGGATACATAGATACAGACACGAAACAAAAAGATACACAGCACCAAGGCAGTAAATAACATTTGGCGATCAATCACATTGGCATGATTAAATGCAAATGCTGCCACTGAAGGACATAAACAGCTCAAAGCAAATAAGAATGCTCTAGTCGGGTCAGCTCGACTAGAAGATGCGCTAATTACATCAATTTACACTATTCTATGGAGTAAGAGTAAGAGTTTACTCTGTTTGATCTTAAGGGATGAGCAGGGAGTATCCAAAAAGTGAGCTCCTAAAAATATAATTTTTATATCGATTCCATAAAAACGGAGAACTCTGCGAAAAATGGTTCATTTGAAATAAACTTGTTAACTTGTTAGCATGAGGGTTAACAGACGGATCTTAGTTTTAAATTTCAAGTTTCAAGCTCTTAAATGAGCTTAAAGCATACGGATATGGTTAGATCCACTCAGCTATTGCTGACCAAAACATATATACTTTATAGGGTCGGATATTCTTCCTACTGCCTGTTCTATGTAATATAATATAACAAATTGAAAAACACTCGTAGTAAAAGTTAACATGGCGTATGCTTCATATTCAAATTTAAGCTTTAAAAGCTGTATATTTGAGCCTAAGTAGAAAATCGAATACAAATTTCATCTGATTTTAGCTTATTTTTTGGAGAAACCTTCCACAATTTAGCTATTAAATTTATTGTGAGGATAAAGTACTTACGCTCACAGCGTACAACCCCGTGATGCGCCTCCTTGGTCAACATTGTCAGACTTTCGCCTATCTGGCGTATCCTCTTCGGCGTGCTCATTAGCGCACTTGCGGTCATTCTGAGCTCGTAGATTTAACAAAAATGTTCCAGGCATATTTTCCACCTAGTGTTTGTGCCCTCTACATGAGGCAAACAATTAACAAAATGGCAATGCAAAAACCTAGCACTTGGCTGCGCATTTTTCTAAAGTATTTCTGAATTTAGCAGAGCACTCGAAATACAGCTAACACGTTGACGAGACGTTAAATGGAAGCGAGCGCGTTTAAATTGACGTTCAAACGAAGCGAATGCTCGATGTGAACTGCGCGCAGCAGTAGACGCGCGACATAGTGGGCCCGACTACGTGCGTGTGTGTGTTATTGTGTGTATGTGTGTGTGTGTTAGCGCGTGTGTGTGTGGCAAATTCAAATTTGGTGGCGTCACTAGCCTGTGGTAAGTTACCGAGCATAGATGCCAGACAGTCAGGTATTCTGTCAGTCTGGCTAGGCAGAGCAGCTGTCTATAGGGTGTGTGTGTGCGTGTGTGTGTATGTGTGTGTTAGTGACAAGTCACCCCTAAAGGACCTGCACGAACCGATGCCAATGACCGACCCAGTCTGCGTTTTGGGACACATTTTTCAATCCCTGAACTGGGTATTACGTGTGCATTGGCGTGCCCAGCTGAGTTGACTGTTAATTAGTACAGCCCTAAAAAAACAACACCTGGCGTTTGTTTGGGCCAGTTCTTAAAAAAACAAGTATGAGAAGTCAGAAAGGCTCGACTAGAAAATGCACTGTGTCCTTAACCAACATTTCCAATTGCTTTTATACAGACTAACTAGGCTAAATCGATTCATACGTTCATCATGTACATCTCAGGGATAGTAAGGTCTTTTTCTCTATAATATACTACTCAATAGTATGACATACAATATCTATAATGCAGATAGCTGCAAGACACTTATACAACTTTTAGCTAACATTAGATAGTATATCATTTGTCATATGCCATAAAGTTAACAATAAAATAAAACTATATACCCATTTTAACTATTTTCAATGGCATAAAATGATGGAATATCTTTTTAGAATTGAATTGCATTTTTATTTTATGAAAAATACTCGCTTGTTTCTTAAATAAATTAGTAAGTAGATTTATAATATTAGTTTTTGTATAATGCGTGGTGTACTTGGTGTTAGTTACAAAAAATTGTCGTTTGCATTTTGCTTAGGTTACGATATTTTTGCTTTGTTTTTGTTTTTATTTTTATACAAAAAATCTTACACACATAGATAATTACTAAATGTTATTGGTGTTAATTAGACTAAAAATTTCATAAAACATTTGTGCAACGAAAACGCATTGCAATTAATTTTTGTTTTTCGTTTACTTGCCCGCTCTATAAATAAATATAAAATGAACATATATATGCATGTATATATATAAATTTGATCAATTTGTTGAAATTATTCGCCGAACAATATAGTAAAAAAGTGTTCGCATTTCTTTAACAATTTGTTGCATATAATATTACATATATATATATAATTAAAACCCGATTGTTTGAACAATTGTGAATCGATAGATCGACTCTCACTTTTGGATACTTATTAGCTAGATTGTCTATACATAGAGCTCGACTACATATAATACTACGAGTAAATGTTGCTTGATTTAATATGGATTCTCGAATTGTAAAATGTATAAATAAATTTTGATTTTGTTGCTTTTATCAACGAATTCTACGAATCTATAAATCAAACATTGAAATAATGCAATTATATAACATATTTATAGATCGAAATTATACGAGTCCTGGGAACTCACTGATTTATCAAAAAAAGAATATGTTAGTGCATGTT